GACTCATTTCATTACGAATGTGCTATTAAAAGAACTGTAGATTAGTAGGTCATGTCTTCCTTTTGATGAAAGGGTCTATTATTTCTTTGATCGTGATAGTAACTGGCTACACTAAAATGCTATAGCTTCTTTAAAAGCCTCTTAATGTTACCCCTATTAACTGCACAGCTTAAGAAGCTGTAGCAAAAGACAGGAGAGCTAATGCAGATCTGCTGCCTCCCTTCTCAGATCTCTTGATCCTACCTGGGATCCTCCTAAGGATCTAGGAGATCTTCTCAAGCAGGGCTAGACTGGATGGCAGAGTGGAAATAACCATGCCAAGTCCTCCTGCCCTATCCTCATGGTTAGAATTGAAAAAAGCTGCAGCAGTGAGAGGGACTGAGCCATTTCTGAGTGAATTCAGAGCTACTACGACTGGATAACGACTATTAAAACGGTAATAAGATGTGCTTGTGGTTCATCCAGGGTGAATAAATACCACACCATGCTGGCCGGGATGTTCTGGCAGTCTGAGCACTAGAACATTCTTGTCCAGGCAGGATGATATTTATTCATTGTACAACAGCACACCAGAAACATCGACGCTCTGCCTATGACAACAGGAGAGGCAATAAACTTTACCACTTCAGTGTGTATTTCCAGCCACAATGACTCATTACTTAACTGAGGTTTTGTGAACAGTGAGTGATGTTTCTGAAACTCTTGAAGTTTCTTGAATAGGCAACATGCATACTTGCTTTTCAAATCACTAATCTGAGAGGTGGCTTTCTTCTTTGAAAAGGGCCTTTTAATATGTTTTTGCTAGTAATTTTATGTTTCTCAGAATATGAAAATGTATAAAAGAATAATGTTACTTGTGACTGAATAGCTTCTGAAGTATTTAATAATGCCACTTATGTCAGCAGTTCTTTGAAAAACCTTAATGAGTTGTTTAATTAGGAATATTGAGGAAATTTGAATCACACAGGGTTTTTTGTTTTTTGGTTTTTTTTTTTCCTCTTTTGGTTCACACTGCTCTGCATACACACACTGTAAATATCAAATACTATACAGGTGACTAACCCCTTTGCTTGTATTATTAAAGCATACTCCTCTGGCCATTGAAACCAGTAAGAAAGTTCCTTTCAGTGGTATGTGATCAGTTCCCTGCAAACAAGTTGCTTCTTGGGAGTAAAAAAATATCTGGGAAAAACTCCAACCTGACTTAAAACAATTGGTATTCATAGTATTGTTAAATTCTTCTCAATTATGTGTGGAATCTCCTTGGGATATAAACAGAGTTCATATTTTTTGGAAGTGGGGTCTCTAATGGAATTACTGAAATCTTCCCCTTGTGTAATGGAGACTTGAATATGGTGCTTTATTTTTAAAATCTGTTCCAGACAAGGCTCTTTGCTGTTGCTTTCCACTGAAGGGAGCAGGAATCATGCTGCAACTCTTAACTATATTGTTAATGCTAAACAACTATGCAATCATTGTATGCAGCAAATTGGGGATTAGAAGCTTCTAGGATGGCTCTGCTCTTATGTTTTAAACAACTGAAGGAGCTAAGCCTAAAAATACAAAACATGTGATGCAAGTGGTTGTTCTTGGTCCAGAATTCAGTGGAACATTCCTCTGTGCAAACCACTAAAGACAGCAAAATTGGCCACCTTTACTCAGTGGAGTTTTGGTTTTGATTCTGAATTAATTCCATAGAGTTGCCAGGATTGATAGCCAAGATCAAAAACACTGGATAAGTGGTTAAGGAGGAGCAGAATTAAAAGAATCTATTTCTGCATAATTTGTGCTTTCATGCCTGTAAACAGATGTCTCTGAGTGAAAAAAAAAAAAAAAAAAAAACAACAAAGAGATACTAATCTAATCAAGAGAGATTTCTTTTTTATTGCAGAAAATCCTTTTCATCTAAAAGGTATTCCCCTAGGCAGTTAATGTTCAAGAAAAGTATTTCTGGTAAGAAATGAAACTTGACAAACTGAGGTGTTAGTACAATCTCTGACACTGCTCTTTACATCAGAGAAGGGTAAATGTGCTGTTCTTTCATTACTGGAAAGACTACTCTATATGTCTTAAGTATTTTCTTAAGCCAAACCTAAACTTCTCTGGTGCTCTTACAGAAAGCAATAAACAGAAACAACCAACCTTGTTCTTGTTGAAACTGATGAGAATTTTGTGTCATTAGAGCCAGTGTGTCACTCTGATTTTTTTTAATGTTTTTTAGTTCTACTGTTGCTTCTTTCAATTGTTGCTAATTTTTTTATTAGCAAAATTTCTGTTAGCCTGCTTTCAATGACTACAGCTGAAGATGCTGGAGTTTAAATACCAAATGAAGTGACCAAATGTTTACTGACTGCATCTACAGAAATCCATGCTTTTGCAACAAATGGTGCATTTAATTAAATCTCAAACATTCCTGAAAATTGCACTTATTTGCATTCATAATATGTTCCACCCTAGTATCTTAAATATTGCATGCACTTCTAGTGCATTGTGGCTGTCATCAGCTTAGGCTGCTTCCTTCTGGAGAGATAAAAGCCTCCTTCCTGTCAAGGTCACTTAGCTTTGATCCTGAAGTCCTCCCACTTTCTGCTTTCCTGTTTCCTTCTCACCTCTAATTATGGGCAAACTGATGTAAGCTGAAAATTGACAAATTGCCCTGAAGGCAAACATGAGTGCTTATTCACCTGTCTAAGGTACCCGTATAGTCTCAATTACCAAGGAATTCGAACACTTAATAATCTTTATTGTATTTGTCCTCAGAGTCATTTTGTGAGAATTGCGGAGCTACCATTCCTGAACATGGAAACAGAGTGAATGGAAAGACCAGACCTTCAAAGGCATTTGGAAACCTAAATCTTACTGCAATCAGGTCAATGGCATTTAAGCCTCTTATCCCATGACATTTTAGCACTAATTCAAAAACAGAAGACAATACGGACACTGAAAAATCCAAGAAATCATTAAAAACTGAACATGGATAAACTCATGGTATTTCTACCCAAGTCCTGACAACTTTGTTTTTCATGATCTTTTCTTACATTTACAGTTTTATAATATTTCTCACCTGCTGCATGAAGACAGTTGCAAAACAAAATCAACATTATACCCATGGTTTATTAGCTCCATCTACACTTTATCTGTTGAATTGATTGTCTTGTAATAAAATGTTGTTTTCTCAGTTACGTAACCAATCCATAATTTATCTGTTTTGAACCAGAAACTAGATTCTCTCTCCTATTTAAAGCCCCTGCAACCTAGCAACAATGCAGGTGTTAGGTACATGCAGGTAATATGAGGGGAAGTCTGGCACGGAGTTATCTGCCTCTGCTCCATCCCCATAATCTCTAACCAATACCCCTTTCTTCTGATTTACTGCAGGTTATTTTACACTGTAAGTTGTAAGAGGACTTATTTTCAAGTACGGGCACTTATAAAGCAGTAGGGATTATCCGAGATTCAGGCTGCCTATGAAAAAATATAGTATTTCATTAAATAGGCAATCTAAGATTTATGATTTTAGATTTTCATTCCTTCCTGTTTATAGAGGCCTGAAATTTGTTGTGTGATATATTGTCACTTAGTACCATATTCCAAGTGTTGAGTTTACATGTGTATATATAAAAATATATATTAAATATATATATATTTGTATGCCCGTGTCTATGTGCTACACACTACCAGCTATACTAGTAATGGCTATAGTAATGCTACTGTTGCCGGTGGGAATTCAACTTTGATTTCAGTGCTGAAGGGCTAAAGCGTTTCCTTGACATTAGCATCCAGAATAGAATGGAGGCTTAAAACCACAAGCCGCTGTTCCTTGAAATGAAAGTGTGACTCTATCAGATGTGAACAGAGCTGAGTGACTGCCGCTTGAAAGAAAACCTCAGGTGTTTGGGTGAATAACATCTAACACTTTGACTGCAGTCCATTTGACTGTAACTGGAAAAAGATCAGGCAAGCAGAGTTTTACCCACAAAAGCCTTGATATAATTGGTGTGTACACTTGTTTGGAGGAGAGCGTGTATGCGTCATCAGTACCAGTGTGAACACAGCTTTTGTGGCCCTGCACCTTAGGAAATAAGATGTTGCCATTGCTACAGACAGATTGCAGATTTTGTTTTACCTGACACAGGCCCCTTCAGGCCTCGTCTGGTCCCGAGCTTACGTTAGCTTGTTTTAGCTGAACCAGCAATTGCCCAACAGGTGGCTAACATCCAACTTATTTTTTGTGTTAGTTTAACTTTGTGAAAATGCATGGTTTTACCCTAAAGAAATTATACCATGTATGTTGTTCCAACAACTCTTTAGTGAATATTCTGTAACTAAAGTTGGGCACCAATTAAAAAAGCAATAGCAACAGACTGTGTGAAAAGCCCAAACAGACCCAAGACCGAGGTGGAAGAAACTCTGACCATCTACAGCATACTTCTCCCACTGAGGAACTTAGGACACTAATTACTCACTGTTGCTACTTCGAAGGTAGGTACGCATAACATGACCAAAAGAGGCAGATACCAGGAAGCTGATGACTAACAAATTGGATTACTGGGAATTAGGAACAATCAGATCATATGGAATATAAATGTTAGCATCGTCGTAACTGGACTTAGAATAACTGTTCGATTCATTTTGATTTTACTGTTGAAACATTAATTAGACTAACAATAAACTCTAATTGTTGGCTCTACGTATAAGATGTGTTCCCCTGTGCCTATAATGAGATTTTGACTGTAACGCTTTTTGTCAGATGGGCAATTTTTATGCAGCAGAAGTGTGGAAAAAGGGAAAATAATGAGAAGTAGCAGCAAGGAGAAAGAGAAGGAGTGGCAGCAGAGAGGCTCCTAGCTTGGCAGCGCTTCAGAGCTGGGATGCAGCTGGTTATCCAGCTGTGAGCCTGGGATGCAGCCAGACGAGGAAGACTCAGGGCACAGCCCCCGGTTGTACCTTTTCACTGCATTTATATGAAGCTCATGCTGATGGCCCTCTGACATATCGACCGGCGTCGCAGGGGTCAGGTATTTTCTTAGGATCTAGCCCAGAAAGGAATTTGAGTGGGTGTCGCTCCCCTGTGCTGTCCACAGGGAGCAGCATCAAAGGCAGGGCAGGGACTGCATGCAGAACCGAGGGCTGCGATCGCCTTCTTGGTCACAGCATCAGTTTTGCTCTTGAAGCAGCCCCCTATTCTCAGCATTTTCGCACTGCGGGGACGAGTTCCCTGCCAAAACAGACAGCATCGATTCATTAGTCAAGGCTGACTGAAATTCAGAGCCGCATCTCAGGGGTGCAGCTTGTAATTTGGAGGCCTGAGGGAAATGGGTGTGAGGGTGACTGTAAGCAGCCTTGCTTTCTGGCATGCTCTGGGGCCAGAAGTGGCCCCTGACAGAGCCTGGGCAGTCCCGGGGAGCTCTGTAGGCACTACAGCAGCCCGTGCTTTGCTGGTTAGTCTCTACCTCCCCAAATCTGTGCATCTAGAAACTGCAGCCCAAGACCATCCTGGACGTTCTCCCTGTGCTGATATATACATGAGCAGAGTCACAGGAGTTCAGTTCCTGTGCAAATGATGAAATCTAGGGGAACGTATCTTTCCTTGTGGTGTCTGGGGCTTTTAAGGCTCCTTAAACAGACCCTTTAGTAAACGCAGGGAGGCTGAGAGAGTGATGGATGACTCCCTGTTCGTGTCCAATTGCAACATACGATGTGACACGAGTTGGTTTTCTCGATCATACAAAAAGAAAAAAAAAAAAACATGCCTCACTGCTCTTGAAAGCTAAACAGGGAAAGGGAGCGTTTCACTTCAGTGGAGTTGCATACCCGTTGAACTGACATGGTGGGGAAAGGGATGGGATGTGGTTCCCGGGGGGGCTCCCAGTTAAAAGGCACCCAAGCCATGCGCCCTGAATAACCATATGAAGGAAAATGAGTTGTCTTCAAGGAAAAATGGCAATGTCTGGCCTGCCTTGCTGTTCCTCGTCAAATGGGGGAGTACAATATATCATCCCTGCCTAAACTCTGCATATTGAGTTAAGCCTAACATTTGGATTTATTAATAGTACAGCTTCCCTCCTCCGTTCCCCCAGGATAAGAATTCAATCTTTCTTCCCAGGAGCTGCATTTTTATGCATACTTATGGGCAGGCAAGGTTCGCAGAAGGTGACTCCCTACAGAAAATGTGTGGCTGCTTAATGTCAATTTGTTTCTGCGTTTGCTGGAGAACCCTGTAGTAATCTGGATGAATACTTGCTGTAAATTGATAACAAAATATGATGTCCTAGAAAGTATATGCTAGCATGAAACACAAGGGAAAAAGAATCCCCATTCCATTTAAAATTAGCAAAGTTGTTACAAAATGGAGAGATTTCCCTTTGTGTTCTGAAGTAATTTATAAAGGTGGTTTGTTTTTCTTTTTTTATTACAGCTGTTTGGTGAGTGGGATGGGAAAGAGACAGATAATTGATGAATGTGCTTTTTCTGACATGGGGGGATGTAAGCTCAGCTTGTGGCTGGGGGAGAAAGGAAGATTAATTGTCAGTTGGTCTACTGTGCAAAACTTTGACAAACTTCTCCAGTGTGGAATCTACGCTTTTTAAATGTCTGTCTTCTTCTTTCCCTGGATACATGTGAATGTAATACTCATAGTGCTAGGGGTGGCAGGAAAGATGCTAAAATGCAAAACTGTGGGAAGAAAATCAGAAGTAGAATGGGTCACCGTTTTACTTCTGAACATTTCAGAGCCTTGGAGGGATGGGAAAGGAGCTGCAGACTGCTTTGGCTTGGTCAAACAGAATTTCCCCTTGGGTTTAAAAGGGAGTGCATGCTGCCATTGCATCTTTCAGCCACTGTGAGGGGATGAGCATGAGCACTCTCAGTATCTAACCCTATTCCTTGTACTTTTAGCTTGGTAGCATCAACCTTGCGGCCGTGGGTCCTCTTCCACCCTTTGCCTATACCTGCACTTGTTTTAGTCAGGTTTAGTTTTTGTTTTTTTTTTTTCCTGAATTGCTTCTAATTGCATTTTAAGGCTGTTGTATCCTACTTTATTTTCATCTTCAAAGCAGCAAGGCAAAATCTATAAATTCTATTTTAGACATCCAAAAAAGCTCTGAACAATTTTTTTAAACTGTTTTTCTTACTTGCTGTTATTTATAGGCTTGATCTCCAACCCCATGCCCTAACTCACCTCTGTACCAAACCACATTAAGTCTTAACGAGAAAATCTTTAGGGTGAGATCACAACAAATAAATAGCTGTTTACCCATGAGTCCTTTCTGTTGTTTCTCTTTTTTTGGTGTGTTGTAGTATTCCTGTGGTTTGATAGGATCAAAGTAGTCTGGCTTTTGTATTCCCATGGCTGGTCACAGGCTATACGAACATTTTTCAAATTCTACCTTCCACCCAGGACATGTACTAGCTCTCAAGGAGGCATAAAGGAAACATCCCAATCCAATGACTGCTGCAGATGTGTTCAATAAAAGAAGAGCTGTAACTACACAAATTACCTTTGCTAAGCTGCAGGGTGCTGCAGAACTCCTGGAATGAGTTTCTCCCAGCCACACTTTTCATTCTCTCTGCTGGTTGTGAATGAATACAAATTAAGAAGAAATCCCTGAAAGAGGTTATAGGCCTATACAAATATCTTACAAAAGAACCAGCCTGCTCATGCAGCTTGTTTTTCACATTGCTGCAAGTTTTAGGAAGAAACGGATGCTACCTCTTTGGAAGCCTGCATGAGTAGGGCAGGAATGTGAGAGGTTCAGCACAGCTGACTAGCAATTTCATTACAAGCCTTGCAATAATTGATATTTTAATTAAAGCCCCAGCTCCTGGAGACGGGTGATTGTCAGAGAATGTCCATTTTCATTTAGGAAAGCGTGTTTCTAGTCTGAAGTTTGCCAAATATATATTTGGAAATATAACCTGTGTCCTAGCCACCCCAGAGCTGGAATGCAGTGAAAGCCAATCTGTACTTATAACACGTTTTCATTGTTTGAGACAAAATACCTCCTGAGTGGAAAGCCAAACTAATAGACGTTGGGGCTGGGCCTCAGACTTTCGAATGTGTCATGGTTAACTCTGGACGTTTAAATTCAAGATCTGGAATGTGCTGAGATTGAGAACAGCAGATGGAAGAAGGGGCCGCGGCAGCCTGTCGTGGGGAGGAGCGCAGAAGGGGGTGCAAAATACCTGTTGGGACCAGGAGGAGCAGAATAGTCTTAACAAACTCTATCTGCATCCCCAGGAGGAGCAAAAGCGCGCTCTCTGCCAGGGAATAAAAAGCTTACAGAGAAATATCACTGTGTTACCTTCTACTGAGGAAAACAGTTTCCTACAGATATTGATTTACTTCATCTTTTGGCTCCAAAATGCCATTAAACAGTGTATTGAAAACTGTATGATAAAACCTGGGCCCTGGGTTCAGTCCATGGACAACCAGAGTCTCTCCAGACCTCTATACCTGGCTAAGGCTCAGCCCAGTTCTTTCACCAGTGGCATCCACAGCTCTGTAGTGTTTTAAGAAATCCACCTGCCTCTCCTTCTCTGGCAGAGGTGCAGAGAGGGACTGGTTGTATTTTGGCTTTGTAGGTATAGAAGCAGGATTTTAACTGTTATTCCATACTTACAGGTTTGGTTTATTTCTTCTAGGAACTACTTTGTAGAGTCCCTCCTGTTGCAGAGCCCTGGGAAATGAAACCAGGAGTTTACCTACACGAGAGTTATATGCTTCCATAGTTTTTTTTTTTCCATTTGTGAATTTGCTATGCACAATCAATTTCAAAATGCTATAAAAAGAGCCAACATGAAAGAAATTCGAAACCCTTAGTGGAGTGTTGCCTTTAAAAATAACAACATTTTGGCTTCAGGCCAACCATGCTGAGAACAAAGGGAAGAAAAATTCTCTTAAAATATTTAACATTACACAGTGGATTATACTGGATTACAAATAATCAAACATGTCTGTTTATTTAAAAAAAACTCAAAAAACTATTCATGTCAAGTGCAGTTCTGTAGCTTTCATGTTTGTTTGTTACTACTCAATAATATTTTAGTAAAAGCCTCTTACAGGCCAGAAAATAATCCTTTATTCTTTACTGGGTTTGGCCTTTTTCTTATATCTACATAAATTCAGAGGATTTCTTGCATGGGCTTTGAGAAGAGTAGGGTGGAAACCATTTCCAATTAGCAAATGGTACTTTCCTCTTCACTACCTATCCCATGAAACAGGTCATGTCACACATGCAAGGATGGCCATGGAGTGACCCAGTTTGTTGCACCGAGTCATTGGTGCGAATATAACCAGTTTTACATATAATCTTCTCTGGCATTAGCGGACAGCATAGGTAATTTGATGCCTTTTTTCTCCCAAACGTGGCTGATAACAGTCTCCACTTACATAATTGGCAGAGTTTTGGGAACAAGCTTTATTAATTTGCCTACTTTTAAAAGGATTAGTACATCAGGAAAGTAAAAAAAAAATGGGAGAAAGGGGAGAAAGGAATGGAGTAAGAGCAGCTATTATGAGGGATTTTTAATAGATTAATGACCTTTGAGGGACAAAGTGGGTTGAGAACTGCAAAAGCAGCTTTCAAGTTATGGAAGTGGTATTGTCCAACCATTGAAATAAAATAGTCAATAGGATCTATCCTCCTGTCCTGTCTCCTGGACAGAGAACTTGGGCCCTGAAGCTCAGTATTTAGAGCCTTTGAACCTCTCCTCAGCTGCCAACTGACCCTGGTGGTGCCAGAATTCCCCAGGCGCTCACGCTTCTACCATCAAAGCCCTCCAGGTGCGTGCACTTCTGGTACTGAGAAAGGGCAAAATTATGCAAATCCGATGCAGGCAGGCAATGTGGCAGCTAACATTTGGCATTATTCACAGGCTAGACCCTCCTTTTCTTATTCCCCCTCAGGAGCCTCAGCTGGGACATCAAAATGAGTCCACCAAATTGGAACAGCGTTCAAGCCCATTTCCCACCTCCAGCCACTGCGCTCCGGTGGGGCTCTCTGAGCTGGATC